GCGCACCTCTCTCTCTCTCTCTCTCTCTCTCTCTCTCTCTCTCTCTCGCTCTCTCCCTCCCTCCCTCCCTCCCTCTCTCGTTTCCGGAACGGCTGCCGTCTGCGAAACACCCCTCCACATCAACACCAACAGGTTCTCCAGCATGCCGAAACGGACAGGTGCTGCATCACGTGCCGGCGGCAACTGAGCGAAAAGGTCGTTGTTGTTGTTGTTGTTGTTGTTGTTTCCCTACTGACGGAAGACGAAAGCTGGGGGTGTAGTATGCATGTCTACAGCAGTCTTCTTTTTTTTTCGTCTTCACTTCAAACCAGCGCTCAGAGCACTTGTGCCGTTTGTTCAAACCCGTGGTCACACAGGAGGATTCGTCTCCCTGAGGACCCCTGCCTCCACCCCTCCTGCGGTACTTTGCCTTCGATTTTCAATGCGGAAAGAGTGCAGCACTCTCTTCCCTCTGTGTACACACAAACTTGCGCTTTCCACCCAGGCCAGGAAGGGAAGCGAGAGAACTCACTTTGCAAGAAAAGCTCGCTTACACCGGGATTCAAACCCCTGGCCCCCGTAGTCTTCGAGGATGCCAACTACTGTAGACTACCGGGACAACAGGTTCCGTACGCAAGCACAACAAAAAATGGAGTGTTTACACATGACACGCGTTGTTTGATTTTGTTGCCGGCAGGAGCACGAGGAGCTGATACGGATCCAAAACGACCAAGTAGCAGAGTCGCGGGACGAGGACCAAACGAAGCAGAAGGTGGCAAGCCACCAGGCGTGCGTGGCAACCATCCAGCAGTAAGTATGTTTTGGTTTTCCGTACTCCGCAAAACTCCGTTCGACCCTTGTGGGGAAGCTGTTTTTGTTTGCGGTATTTTTCCTGCGATTTTGTTTGTCTCGTTCTCTGTTTTGGCACGCTGGCTGACTGCTGTTGTTGTTGTTTGCTGCGGTCGTTGATCATTGATGGTGGTGGTGCTCTTGCTGATGCTGTTGGTCTTTGCTCTGTTGGTCAGGTTGACGAACGTTGCTGGAGAATGGAGGGAGCGCTTCAGGCTTTCCTCTAAACCGGCAGAGCTTGAGGAACAACAGGTGGGTTGCGTACGATTCTCCTTGTTGTCGGCGCTGCTAGTACTGCTGCTGCTGCTGCTGCTGCTGCTGTGTTGCTGGTGTTGTTGCTACTGCTGCTGTTGCTGGTGTTGATCCTTCGGTTGTTGGTGTTTGGTGCTTGCTGTTGTTCTCGTGGTTGCTGTTGCGACTGCTGTTGTATGACAATGTGACATCCTCATTATCCCATGAAATTCGGGTGTTGTCCCCTCATGCCCGAACCGTCGACGTAATCACTGGGAAACACTGGTCAAAATTTCGAGAACGTGGATTCGAACACCGATCCACACGCATAGGTGACACGTCACGTCATGTCTGGCTCCTCTGTAACCAACCTAAGAAAACGACGATGGCATTACGTCTGATATTTTCACGAAGCTAAAATTAACTTTCAAAACACGTGTGACGGCGCCCCCTCTCAGGCGAGGCTCGAGCAGGAGGGGCGTGAGAAGAAGCAGGAGCTGGAGAGGGAGGAGATGGAGGAGAAGAAGCTCTTGATCTCGAGGTAGTGGAACACAACTTGCTTGCGTAGGTGTGCGTCTAGCGCCTTGTTCTTCTTGCTGGTGCTTGCTTTGAAAATGAAACGGTTTTCTGGCTCGTCCCCTACAGCTCTGTCGCGATACCAGAGTAGAATAGTCAATGGTCCAAGCAAGGAACTCGTGATGATGCGTTCTATCTGATTGCTTAATTGCTTGTGCGTACATGCATGTGACCACATTCCATGCCTCAAGTTTTTTTGTCGATATTGGTAACACACATCTTCACACCCCTTCTGTCTTTGTCTTTCATTTCCGGGGTTGCGTGGGTCGCTTAGCCGTCGTGTGCCCCTCGTCACCCTTGACGAAAAACGATGAATCAACGATCAGGAAGAAGGTGGACGAGGACTTGAGGGAGGTGGAGAAGTGCGCAGAGGAGGCCGCACGCATCCAGGCTCTTCGCGTCGAGGTGGATATGACCAAGAAGAAGCTGCAGAGGCGAGTGGCTTAGAACGCCACGTACGATGCATTGCGTGCATGATTTGCGGCACGGTTTGTACGGCTATTGCGGCCGCCCTTGTGACAGAGAGCGGCGGGAGACTGTATATTCCAGGTATCACGTTTGCACGGTATGTATATGCTCGAAGGAAAGAGACACGGTGGATGTTTGCGAGCTTCGGGAGAACACATTCCGACGTGGGGGAACCAAGGGGCGTTCTTGGAACGGTCGTTTCCGCCCAACGGTTTCAGAATTTCACGGGTTCCAGAGTTGAACGACAGCGTATCTCCACAAGCATCCACCATGGTATTATTCTCGACACCATCGTGAGAGCTTTTTGTTTGCTTTTTTTTTTTAACTCTTTCGGTGCCAAGTTTCTTGTGCGTTATTTCTCCTGATGATGACCCGGACATGCGCGCTCGATGTGCGTCTTGTGCCGAATGCTTCCTGCGTGGGGTGAGTTGAGTCAATACTGTACAGCGCTTGAGAGCGGTGGTTCGAAACGCCAATTTTGGGTCGAGGTTCATCTTCTACAGCACTAGCACGGTGTCGTCGCCACCGCCGTCGAGCACCGTACCACTTCAACGTAGTAGGATACATTGGTGTAGTAGGATCCACCGCTTTAGGTACCTTTCTTCACGAAACCATCCTTTTTTTTCATACAAACCTAGCCCATTATTCCTAGCGGCTTAGTTCTTGTTTTGTGGGGGGGGAGGCGGCAGCGGTATCGGATGGCGAATGAACCCAAATGAAGAGGTGGGTAAACATGGTTTACCAAGATGACGTGTTGTGCAGGTACAACCAGAACAAGGGCACCCTGGGCGAGGCACAGGAACGCCTCCGAAAGCTCACCGCCGAGAAGGACAAAGTCATCAACGATGTACAGGTAGGTGTGGCAGCAAGAGCAACCCGCGGAGCTTGTATGGATTGCGAAGGACTGGGGCACATGCAAACGCATGGCAAGAAATACGACTTCCAACACATGTTCTTCGGCTATGGTTATATCTTGAATGGGTGGTCATTCTGTGAGTGTAATTTTTTCCACGAAATAGCATTCGACTGAGCGGAGCACGCATCAGATGGACGCATGCTTTATTTGTGAAGATTGGCTATGTAGAGGGGCCGCAGAAATTGGTACAAATACCCGGAGAGACCCACGCGGTTTAGTGTTGGTGGCTTCGGCGTGTCTGATTTTGATATTTAGTGCCTCCCTCTCTCTCGCTCTCTCTCTCTCTCTCTCTCTCTCTTGGCTTTCGCGAGTATCCCATCGGTTGTGTCTTTGTGCAGGCGTTTGTGTTTAGTGGGAGGCGCCGGTCTTCTCTGGGTGGTACCCACAAGTGCAGCAAGGGGTTGACCGACGATCTCGAAGAGAAGGGAAGTTTGGCCAAGAACAAGAACATGTGACGAAGTTCTCTCTCGTCCATCGCAACACGCTCCTTCTGTTGTTTCTCCTGCCGTGTCTATTTTCTGTCCAATCAACTCAAACCGAATCGAATCGAACCGGAACGGAACGGAACGGAACGGAACGGAACGGAACGGAACGGAACGGAACGGACCAGGCCAAGACGAAGGAGCTTACGGTCCTGGGTAACCGCAAGTACGAGGTGACCACGAACAGGAACATGAGGGAGGCGGACTACGACAAGGCGTTCAACGACCTCGAGGCCAAGAGGGAGTTCGATAAGAAGAGGCAGGCGAGTTACTTCTCAACAACACCGTACGCGGGGGGGTGGGGGGTGGGGGGTGGGGGGGCAGGGTGACTCGTCATTTGCTCGCCTCGTACCATTCGGGCACACATATGAACTTAAGTGTCAACGGTTCCTATTTTTTTTTCCGAACAGAGTAGTAGTCGTTTGGCTCTTGTGACGGCACGCATCCGTCGGAGACCGAGCACCGGAGAAGGGGTGGAGACGGGGAATCATTTTTGTTGCGCCCGCATGTGTCGTTTCGCCACGGACAACAAGTTCCTTTCGAGGTGAAGCTCGGACGGTGGGTGCTCGTTGTTTCATGCACCCTTTTTTGTTTTTCCTGCAAACCCTCACAGTCCGATGAAGCCGGGATTGAGCACGTCCTTTTTTTTTGCAACCTCAGAAAGTCGTTGTTATTTATCAAGAGCGGGAGCAATGGGGGGAGGTAGGGCATCCGGGGAGTCTATTTTTTAGCGTTCGGTATGATGCGAACTACGTTAGGTCTGCGGAGAAGGGATGGGGGGTGCGGGTTGCTCGTCTTTGAAACACACACAGCAGGTGTACACTTTCATGGTATATGTTATGTAAACAAAAAGATGTGCCCCCCCCCCCGCACACACACACATAAGATCGTCAGATGCGTGTGGGGAACAGGTGAGAGGTCGCTGACTGTGGCTCCCCTCCCGTTTCTCTCCCCCCCCTCCCCCCCCGGTGTTTACCATCGGGGTTGGGTTTTCGTCGCTTGGCAACGACGTTGTAAAACAAGCCGCCCCCCCCGGTGTTTGCCATCGGGATTGGGTTTTCGTCGCTTGGCAAAGACGTTGTAAAACAAGCCAATTCACTTCGTGAACTCGGCAACCAGGTTACCGTTTTTTTTTTTTTACCTCCGGTTTTTTTTTTGGCGGTAACCATAATGGTGGTCGAGTAGATCATGTTGTGCGGGGTGGAGAACCCTCACTCCGCGCAAGGGGGATGATCGCACCACGTTGTGTTAAAATGGTCAAGCACCCTCGAGGCAGTTACACAGTGCTTACAACTGTCTCTGGAAGTGAAAGCACCAGAAAATAAATTAATTCATACGCAGCTGTCATCCGTACGCAAGGAAGTAAGCACAAGATGCCGAACACCCTTAGCAGGATGCAGCGCACCCTTCATGCGACTCGCCGAATATCTCACGGCGCTTCGCGCTTGGTGATGTGAGAGCCTGGTCCGGTGAGAACCCGGCGTGCTCCGTCCCGGCTTTGTAGGGATGCGAGGTCAATGGTCTAACGACTACGGCATGCACGACTATGAGTACCCCCCCCCCCCCCCTTCGTTAGCGTAGTACATCTCTAAGTTGATGCTTCAACAAGGAGCGGGGTTTGATGAGCTTTTGTGTGCATTTTGTGCCAACCTCGCTCACCGCTCTCTCTCTCGCGCGCGATAATCTACAGATGCTTCGCGAACGAGAGAGATCGCTGGAGGGAGAGCTCAGGGATCTCAAGGCCAAGGAGCAGCCCTTGCGTCAGCAGGTCGAGGAGAAGATCAAGCAGAACAACAGGTGTTCCTTGCCTTTTGACGACGAGGGTCATCGACACTGGTTGTTGCTTGGGTGTGCAGCTCAGAAGGTCAAGGTGTCTGCACCTGTTTTTTTCTACCATCTTGCTTTGGTTGAACATTTTTTTCACCACGCCATAGACAAAAGGTTGGGGGAGTAGGCAACGTTAGGACGTGGAAATGGAAGTTGACTGGTTAAGTCTTTCTGTGTGATGTTTGGGAGTGGGGGAAGTCAACGCTGTCTGGCGTTGACGAGATGCACGAAACTATGTTAGCATCACGAGGCGCTGCAGAGGTTCGCACGACGGCTAACTCTTACCTCTTGGGATAAAGGTGTGTGCTGTGCAAGCACCGGGCTTTGTTGCTGTTTTCGAGCGTCATCAGAGGGAGTCACTTAGTTTTCTATTTCCCTGTAAAATGTCGTCGTCGCCGGCGTAGATTACTTTGTACAGCTCTGTCATGAACTCATACCGTTAAAGTCAAAGCAGAATTGCTGCCTTTCCAACCTCACGATGGTCTCTGAGAGCACTCTCAGGGCGAAAAAAGAGGACTCCCCCGACACAACGGATTGAGTGTACAAACCTCTGTAGCCTGGCACGTGTTTCCCGTCGATAGATTTAATCTTTGCTAGAGAGACAATTTTTATGCTCCGATTTCTGGACACGTGAACGATGTGCGTTCGACCCCCTCCCTCCTCGTCTAGGACGCGTGGTCGATGGCTTAACAGCTCAGGCATGCAAAACATGAGTAAGCCACCCCCCCATGGCGAAAATAGCCAGGAGAAGACGTTAGCTGTACTGGGGCGTAGGAAGTGGGTTGAAGAGACGGGAAGTGATATCGGTACAAGTGATATCGGTAGGATAGGTAGACTAGGGAAGACATTTTTGAGCCACCTTTGGCAAAGTAGGAAGGACTGGCCATCGTTGGTGATCGGTCCTGTGGGAACAATGCTCCGTCTTCTCGAGGACGCGTGATCAGTGGTCTAACCGCGAAGGCATGCAAGTCATGAGAGTACGCCCCCCCATGGCGAAAATCCGGCATACGACTCCGTCCCGGCATTGTAGGGATGCGGGGTCATGGTTTAAGGACAACGGCATGCGCTTACATGAGTCTACACCCCACTCCCGTCTACAGGGCCAGAGACAAGGCGAGGGCAGCCGAGAATCGCCTCCGAACCACGGCGCAGGCGTGCCGGACGGACTTGAGGGCCTTCTCGGGAGCCCAGCGGGACGTGGAAGCCGGCATCGCCAAGAACCTTCCCGACGTCCTCGAGTCCATCAGGGCCAGGCTGCAGGAGGCCGAGACCACCGTCGCGGAGAACGAGGCGGGCGCGAGGGAGAACGATGTAATTGATCATGATGAGCCTTTTTGGTGTGTGTGTGGGTAACGTAGCGTTCTTGGTACTTGGTCTCCTGTTTTTTTTGGGGGGGAGGGGTAAGCATGGTTGAAGCGAACCTCTTTGGTCACGTTTCTTTTTGGACACGGAACAACGTCGGGGCGGACGTGAACTATGTTTGTCTTACTTTGTGTTTTGTACTAAGACTGCGGAGGCGGAAACGCTACCGTAGTAGGTGCGGCCGGAGAACCGTTTTTCCAAATGCTTGCCAAGTCTGCCATCACACCCGTTCACCATTCCCCCTTGTCCGAGGTCACACGCACCGCACATTATTGTGACCCCCCTCATGTTTTTGCACTCTCCCTTTGTTTTCGTTCCCTCTGTTTCCCGTCTTGGCAGCGGACGATGCAGGGGAAGGTTCTGATGTCGGACAAGCAGGGCCACCACAAGAAGGTCCTCAAGGACAACATCGACTACCGCGCCCTTGCAAGGCATGGATGCCCCCCGTACATATATATATATTTATTTTTTTCTTTGTCTTCCTTTGCAATATGTTACCTTACACCGCAACAAACGTGCTGCTCGATGAATAGCATGTTGCGGTTTGTGTTCACGCGCTACAGCTCCTTTCAGCGCGCTTGAGGGAAAGGACATTCGACGCGTGTTTTCGTTGGCATATGCATATTTCTCCAACTCTCGTTTGTTTTTGCTGTGTGTGAGTGACCTCGATTGCTATTGCGCGGTAAACCCCTCGTCCTTTATTTTTCTTGAAAAACAGCGGGCCTGTTCCGGGTTAACGCACGCCGCTCTCTTGCGCCTTTCGAACTCAACAAATTGCAATTATGAAGCATCCTTGGCGTTGTACGGAATTTTTTGTTTTTTGTATTAATCCTGATCTTCGTGGCCTCTGCTTATTTGCTCGTGGCTCTTCTTTTGCCCCCTCCCTTGCAATCAGGGAGTTGAAGGATAAGAAGAAGGAGGTGGCCGATGTGGAAAAGGAAATCTCGAAGACCGACAGCGAGAACGTCCGAGGGTACGTGGTACAGCAGTAGTGGTCGGTATATCGCGGTGCAGTGGCAGACAAAAATCGCTGCATTAAATCGGGACCAGCTCTTTGGAGGAAGGTCCAGTAATTTAGTAGTACTTGTAGTAGGCTAGGTTGTTTGTGCCAAGGACTTTTCTCCGCGACATATGGGGAACCGCGCTGTTCGGGACCGTAGATATCTCGGGACCACTGTAGTAATAAATTTGCACAACGTCATTGGTCGTTGTGTCTGGGAAGCTGTGTGTGCGCGTGTTTGTGTTAGCCAAGAAGATGGTGGGGCGGGCGGTGCGTCTGCCGATGACGATGGCGGAACGCGGCATGCGGAAGACCCGGGTGTCTTGGAAGTAGTCCCCCGATTATTAATGGTTCTCGGGACGGACATATCAGATAATGTAATTTAGCCTCCGACACTATTGTTTTCGTGTGCACGCATGCAATCTGGTGCTTTCTCTTACTCTTCTGAGACGTCCGCCACATTTGTTGTGTTGGCGGTACCATTTGCTTCCTCTCCCTCTCTCTTTCTTTTGTTCCTCCTCAGGAAAATCGAAGATATCGAAGAGGAGAGGCTAGGCAAGACGCAGACGCGCGCCGAACTCAAGGGCCGGCTGCACGGCTTGAAGGGGCAGATCCGAGGGTACGAGGCGAAGCTTAACTCGGACACGTACAGGAACATCGAGGAGAAGCACCGTCGGAAGATGATCGAGCACCGCACCACCGAGATGGCAGTGACGGACCTTGACAAGTACTGGACCGCTCTCGACAAGGTAGTCGTTGTTGTTGTTGTTGTTGTTGTTGTTGTTGTTGTTGTTGTGTCTTCTGTACTTGTCCTGGCCAAGTGCTTACCCCGTTTGCATTGCGGCCAATGTTGCAGTTTTTTGCGTTTTTTTCATGACTGAGAGTTGTCTCGAAGTTCAACAATATTTCTTGATCCCCCCCCCCCCGCCCCGCCGCTCGCTCTGTCCCGGCATTGTAGGCATGCAAGGTCTATTGTTTACCAACCACGGCATGCATTTAAATCAGTACACTCCCCTTGGTCGTGTGGCCAGCTGCACAGCACCCATTCGTGTGTACGTTTATTTTATTTTTTTGCATCGTCCTTGTCGCATTCGCTTGTTTTGTTTGTGTTCGTTTCACACACGTGTGCGCGACAGGCGCTGCTCCGGTTCCACACGATGAAGATTGCCGACATCAACAAGATCATACGGGAGCTCTGGGCCATGACATACTCCGGCGAGGACATCGATATGATCGAGATCGTCTCTGGGGACGACGAGGATAGCGGCAAGGCCAAGCGGTGAGGGAGAGGTTTTGGGTTTCCACGCACGCAAAGGGCGCAGCATGTGCGTACTTGGTAGCCAAGAGGCGGCTTTTTTGATAAGCATAGACTCGAAAGTGTGTGTCGTAGGTGACACAAGGTAGCACACACCCCTGGACAAAGCTCGATAACTCGACAGTAGAAAGAGTGGCAGCCCCAGAAATGTCGACGTTGGAACCGTCCCCGTGGAGAGCTTCCGAAGACGCACTACTTTGACCGTGGCATCATCTTCGTCGTGGAGTACTGTAGCCGAGCTTCGAGAATCGGTCCAGGGGGGTGTGCTATCTTGTGTCACCTATGTGGTCGTCGTATTTCACGGTAACGACGGCGGCGCTGAAAAACCGGGTAGCCGCCTCACTCTGTGAGATTTGATGGGAGCTGAGTGAACGCTTTTTGTGTCTCGTCTCGTCTCCGAGAATTGTGTGCGGCACCAGTGTTGACGTGTTAGTGGAAAGCGCGCTCTCGGCGGAAGGGGCAATTGCGCCGTTGTTGTTGTTGCTGCCTTTGGAGCTATCCGCAAGCGGAACCTAGTTCGGCGTGAAGCCACACGCAGGGGTTTTGAAACCACGCGCCCGCTGCTGCAAGACGGGACTTGTTTGATTTTTCTGCGTTGTCACTCCGATCTCGTACATTTCCAGGTCCTACAACTACCGGGTGGTGATGCGAAAGAACGATGCCACCTTGGACATGAAGGGCCGCTGTAGCGCCGGTCAGAGGGTTCTGGTAAGCCAGATGCGAGAGTGAGGGAGGTAGACAGACACATAGAAAAGAAAAGACGGGACGGGAAGGGACGGAGACGTAGTGGGAAGGGGGGGGGGGCACCCTGATGTGTTGCACGCCTTATGTAAGAGGCCATTTACCACGCGTCCTTGAGAGCTTGGAGCATTGTTCGCACTAGGCCGATCACCGATGGCCAATCCTTTCCCTCCTACTCTTCCAGAGGTGACTCAAAATTGTTTTACCTACCACGTAGTTGGGGGAGGGGTCTGAACTCGCCTACTTCGGAAACGATGCGGGGTCACGAAGATGATGTTATGCCACTCTGGGCTGGTTAGCGTACGTACGTGTATATGGTATCATGAACTGCACGACTCATATGCGTAGACGGCATCGGAGCCGACATTCTGGAAGCTTGGTCGTCGAGACAAACTCTTGTTTCCGGTCGATCTTCGTCGTTTCTTGTTTCTGTATTGTCAATCTAGCGCATGTTGTGGTTTTTCACAAGCAGTAGGTTAGTGGTATTTCTTTTTTGCTCCTCCTCGTTTGTTGCATTAAGGTAATCGTGGTGTCAGGATGGGGTTTGCTGTTAGATTGCCAACACCAACAACAGATCTTTTTTGTTAGGGAATAACAGCCACCATAATAATCGCAGCAACCAAACAACAACTCTGCTCTCTTCTCCTCTCCGTCGCGTCTTGTATTTGCCCCCGTCCCGTGTGCAGGCGAGCGTGGTGATCCGGCTTGCTCTGGCTGAGACTTTCTGCGTCAGCTGCGGCATCCTCGCTCTCGACGAGCCTACCACCAACCTCGACCACAACAACAAGGTGCGGATCGCGGCTGAGGTGGTTGTAGGCGTAATTGCTTTTGTTTCCTTCGTGTCTCCGAGTGCAAGGCATTGGTCGAGCGGTGCAGCTCAATCCGGCGTGACCCGTAGCCAGAAAGGCAGCAACCGGCGTACAACGGAAAACAATGCATCAATCAACATGCTTGGCTTTGTCTCATCGCGGTGCAAGCTGATGTGCACGAGAGACGAACGCTCAGATTTGAGTCTCGACTCCGTTACCAAGCCGCCTCCCACTCAGCCACGGGGCCCCCCGCCCTCGTTGTATGTATGTGTCCATGTCTTTGCCAAGGAAGTAGCATACGAAAGATATATCCGGGATGATTTTTTGCGGACGTTCGTCGACGCTTGGCCTTGTCTCTGGTAGTTGCATTAACTTCTGGGGTGAGACTTGGCACGTTGAGAGAGTTCGCGGACAGTTCCCGTTTGTTCATGATGCGAGCACGATTCGCGAGCAAGTGTGTGCATGCGACGCCGACGACCAGCCCATCACATATTTTCCGTCCCCCCCCCTGCTCTCACCTCGAGCGATTTCTTGAAGCATATCGTTCCGTGTCTCCGACGCCGTCTGTCTGTCCGTTTCGTCGCTTTTTGACGGAAAAATACGATGAAAATGAATCGAAAAATAATTGAGAAAAGGTGGGGCTGGCGCACGCGCTTGCCAAGATCATCAGCAGCCGGTCCAAGCAGGCCAACTTCCAACTGATCACCATCACGCACGACGAGGTGTGGTGCGGGGGAAGTGCAAGCCTTTCGATTGTTTGCCTCCCGTCTTTGTAATATTGTCCGTAGCGGCAAATGCGAACTTTTCAACCTCTCATATCTTTCAGTCATCCAACAAAGGATGCATAATCACATTCGGTTTTGGCACGAATGACTGCGAGCGAACGAGCAAGGGAAATCCTCTTTTTCCATTCCCTTGTATGTGCGTTTGTTGTTGTCGCCGCGCTGTTTTTGACTGGGCCATAGGAAATGCGGGCGGGGGGTAGACAGACGTTGTGCATGCATACCCCAGAGGACGTTTCTCACGTCACCCCTGGAACAAGATGGGCCTGTGCCGAATGTCAAGCGTGGGGACTTTCATGCGTACGCTTTTTCTAGGAGATATAATTCTCTATACACATGATGGTTGAGCTCAACTCAAAATAGAAGGGAATGGTACACGCGTTTGCAAGGCAAGTGATGTCGGAGCGACCCGCGCAAGTCGAGATCTGCTCCCGTCGCCCAAAAGGAGTTGCGGAGAAGTCGACTGGCGGTTTTGCGGCGAGATATCACGCCATCTTCTGACAGTCAGTGGTGTTTTCCCGTGTTCTTGACAGGTTGAACGTCTCTCCCTCCACGAGTTGACGTACATTCGATTATCCTACCGGTTGCATGCATCTCGCTCCACGAGTTGACGTACATTAGATTTATCCTACAGGTTGCATGTTCCGCTCTCCACGAGTTGACGTACATTCGATTCATCCTGCAGGTTGCATATTTCTCGCTCCAAGAGTTGACGTGCATTCGATTCATCCTACAGGTTGCATGTTTCTCGCTCCAAGAGTTGACGTACATTCAATTCATCGTTCCATGGTTTGTGATGTGATTGAGCAGGAGTTCGTGCAGACGATGCGGACGGAGCTGGGAACGCAGGGCGGATTCTCCATGCCGGAGTTCTACTGGAGGATTTCCAGGGAGGAGATGTCCAGGGGCAAGTTCTACAGCCGAATCGACCGCCTCGACTGGGAAGACATGTGATGTCATGTCGATATCGTTTGTCGTCTTCTGTGCATGCGCGTGTGTGTCTCGTCCTCCCATGTGATGAAATTGGCTCATCATGTGGCGGCATCACGGGTGGTGTTTCGTCAAGTCATCGTATTTTATCCCTCATGTGCTCGTTGGTGGTGTGGACCTGCCATATTTGACGATCGGTATGGGTGCATCATAGATCGGTAGTCCTGCCGTGATGAGGCATGACGATTGCTAGTGGTGAGGTTGCCCACAAGCCTTCGAAGGTGTAGCTTTGCTTAGAATGCCTTGCAGTGTATCCCGAAACATGTAGCGCGAAAAATGGTGTCTATACCACGCAAGCGCTGCCCCGTCGAGAATCAAAGATGGGGCGGGGGGGGGGG